GCGATCTCACGCTACAGAGAAGTAGGGGTACAAATGTTAGATCCATTCAAAGCAGCAAGCTCATATTCCAATTTCTTGACTTTTTTGACCAAAGAGTAAGCTTTGGCAGCATAGTTCTTGCCATCTCTTTAGCAGCCTTGGTATCTTCTTGGTCAAGGAACATAGACTCGGCTGCCAGAATCGTTGTTTTCCGCATCATGGCTAGCAGAGCGGTCTTTCTATACTCAGATGTGTGCTTTGTGAAAAGACACTGACCAACAATCTCTTTGACGTCATCAACAAACTTGGCACATATATTCATGTCTTTAAGTAGATCTGGCTTCAAAAGCGTGTAAATCTCAACAACTTCCCCAGAAACAGTCTTGGTGGATTCTTCAAGCTTGCTTACCCGAGTAGTTTCTTTCGTCCCAGCAGACGAGTTGGTCGCAGTAGCGGAGGAAGCAAGTTTTGGTGCCACTTTAGCAGGTAGGGGCACCTTGTCACTATACATAGTAGCAAGCCTCTCCAAAGGTAAGCCAGACTTAGTTCCAGACAAAGATTTTGGCACAAACTTCGGCACCAGAGGCACGGAGAAACTTCTGCGTTGGGTAATCCTTTCAATAATCGAGCTAGTAGCCTTCGGAGTAATAGGAGTCACCAGCACAAATCTAGTAGTTCTTTCTTTCTCACCCTTAGAAGAAGTCAAGTTAATCACAACCTTAGGAGCAGTTAGTGAACCTGCACGAGCAATGGAAGAAATCTTTATTTTCTTCTCAGCAGGCATTTCTTGGGCAGGCGGGGAATGTCTCTTTTTTCCCACCTTCGTTTATAGCAAGCTTCACCACGTTGACAGGACGAGTCAACGCCTCAGCTCTCTATCTCCTCTTTCGGAGGCAACCCATCTTTTTCCCTTCGAAGAGGACTGAGCAACCAACACCATTCATGATACTCAGAAGGGATACCCAGAGCAACATGCACCTTTCTCATGTTTGGAGAAGCCTTAGAAGTGGAGCCGAATTCTGAATCTACAAAAATAATGGAAGACAATCAGAAAATTGAAGAGTAGTTTGGCACTAAAGTAAAACAGCCGAGAAGATTAAGCAGCCTGCTTACCAGATATGAAGACTGTTGGTACACCCAGCTCGGGGGAAAAATCAGACTCTCATTCTCCACTTACCTCCAAAGTTTCCTTAGCCCAGTCATGATCACCCTTGCTCGAGTTATCAAAAAGCCTATGGCAAGATCGTAGCTGCCCGACTCGATCAATGTGACCTATGTCAAAGAAGTACCAAAATTCGTTGATGGTAAGATCTAAGTCAAAGAATTGACTTAGATTATAGAATCCCACCATCACACGAACCGCATTCGGAGAACAATGGGTAAGGGCACATCTCATGGAGCAGAGCATTTCTTGGAAGAAACGCTGCATAGGAAAAGTAAACCCTAACACAAAATAGTAGGGGTGGAACTTGATGGCTCTCCGAGTCCCACTGCATGGTTCCCGGCTACTACCATCCCTAACTCGCCTCACACGCACCCCCGACGGAATGGCATGCCAGTATGCCTCAAGAAAGTCTCTAAACAAATCATCAGAGCTAATCTTGAAGTGAGTAGCTCTGAAGTAGCTAACCTTGCTCAAGGACCTGCCTTGAGGATACAATGGCGGTACACCATCATCATTCTTGTGGCTCAAGGAAGACATACTTGAAGAAATTCTACAAAAAGTGCAAGGAAGATTCATTGGAGGGTTTTTTTTTTTTTTTATTAAAATATATATATATATATATATATTGCCAAGAACTGCTGCTTCCCTTTTTTGTTTTGTTTTTTTTTTTTTTTTGGGGAACCAAGCCGTAGAAACCCAACAAAATTGCCAGGCTCCATGGCCTGGCTTATTGTTCCTCATGCCAACGCCCCAAAAAACATATGAGGATGCACACGGCATAACCTTGCCATGGCCTCCCAAACTGTTCTCTCGCAAATCCTCAACTTCCGTCAAGTCAAATTTCAAGCCCCAAGCTTCCAAAAATTTATGAAGACAAGGAAATTAAATTTTTCTTACCTAGAAATAACGAGAAGACGAAGCAAGCAACGAAAGACGATCCTTTGCATGGACATGATGTGGAAGATTGCTAGAGGAGGGGGAATAAATATCCTCTAAGCTCTTTCGCGCTTGTAGGGTGAAATAAGTTTCTCTCAAAAAGTTGATTTAATAATCCACTTAAGGTGGACTTAAATAAGCTTTGAGAGGAATTTGTTTCCTTTTCCTAGAAGGATCTAATTTCCTATTAAAAGAGAGAATCACTGTCAAAATAGGAAACAATTCAAAGTTTCCCAAGCCAAGAAAATCTCTACACCTATTGCCCTTCTCTGCGAGCAGCCCAACAGGTGTGGGGGCATTTGTGGAGCCAAAAATAATCACAAAGCGACACGTGGATTTTTCGATGAAGAAGACAAAAATACCCTTGGCGTGTATCAAGATTCCTACGCGCGAGTAGCAGACAATTATCCTCAACCAAGTCAGAAATGCCCATGAAAGGTAACAATTCAAAAATTCATCTCATCAAATCCTTCTACAAGGCAATTCCTAACATTTATTTCACCCCATATATCTTTTACCTAAATTCCCTTTTTTAGCTAAATTAGTTAGCTAATTATTACATAACCTAATTATCTATTTACTCTAAATATTTTGTAACCACCAAAACATTCCCCTTATGTTTAATTAGCCAATTAATACTTATTAAAATTGGCTAATTAAACCAAAAATTAAACCTAAAAATCCATCTAATGGCTAGCCACTCTTTCTCCAAAGAGGACCGGTCTATCCCTATAAATAGGCTCCCCTTTCCACCAAAGAGATGATTCCAACACACTTATAAAAATCCCAAATACTCTCTAAACATTTTTTCTCTCTAAATTCTAACTTTGGCATCGGAGGTTCTTCGGCCAAAGCCCCCCCCCCCAATTCATCATGAGCACATGAGGCTCTTGGCCGACCCTAAGGTATTAATTGTTTTGTAAGTGCAATTTTGTCCAAGATCAAGGAGGAAGAAATTTGCATCCACAACTGAGAGTATACACGCCAAAACTGTCGTGCTCTATATGCCCTTTTAAATGCAAAAAGTGATTTGTGACTAGAAGAAAGCTCTTGCAAAGGTTCATTTGAGTCATCCGCAACCTGGGCTGGTGCCTGTTACACAAGGTACTAGGGTGGCTTCTCTTTTGACATCATCTCCCCATTCGTGGAATATTGGGTTTCTTCAACCCTTTTTATCAGTGGATGAGATGAACGCGATTTTAGGGACACAGGTTGGGGATGCTAGGCAACCTGACCATCTTGTTTGACCATCCACTAAAAATGAGGTGTATGTGGTACGGTCAGGGTACCATTGGGCTCGATCTTCACGGCATTCCTCGGTGAATTGGTGAGCTTCCTCTTCTTCCACTATTTCTAAGCAGGTTTGGCAGACTGTTTGGAGGTTGAGAACTCTACCTAAAATTCGTCATTTTGTGTGGTGTATTGCTCATCGTGCGTTGGCTACGTTGGAGAATCTTTTTTGCTTTTTCACCTATTTGTCCGATATGTCATGATCATGCGGAATCTTTGGAACACCTTTCCTTTTTATGCCCTTGGGTGGAGCCTATTTGTTTTGGTGGCATTCTTAATTACAGAATTGATAGAAATGCAATTTCTTCCTAGTTAAATTGGTTTCTTTCCATTGCTTCTAGGAGGTTCGGGTCAAAGGAGGAGCGATGTTTGATTCTTTCTTACATCGCTTTTACTTGTTAGCATATTTGGAAGGCTCGATGAAGTTTTTTGTTCAATCAATCTCCTCTCAATCCTACTCAAGTTCTTCTGGCCATTCACACTGCAAGTGGAATGTTTTTTTAGGCCAATGGTGTTCATGCTCCTGCTGTCACAGTTTTCTCGCCACAGGTAGGTATAGAGGTTCGGTGGTCCCCTTCTCCATCCCCCTTTCTTAAAGTGAATGTTGATGCTAACTGGTCTCATTCTTCTTCGACTGGTTATGTTGGGGTGGTGATTAGGGAGGTGAGGAGTCAGTTTGTTGTTGCTATCAAGGATACTCTCAAGGATCCAAGTGTTGCCACTGTTGAAGCCTTAGCTATGGATCGGGGTTGTGATTTGGCAGCGGCTTTGGGACTTAGGTGCATTAATATGGAATCTGATTCTAAGGATACCATTTCATCTTTATCGTCTTCGCTGATTACTGGTAGATGGGAGGCCTTCCCTACCTTAACGGTTATTAAGTAGTTAGGGGAGTCATTTCAGGACTTTCGCTAGTCTTGGGTTCCAAGGTCAGCCAATATGGCGGCAGATAAGTTGGCGTCGCGTTACTGTACGAAGATGTGCCGTTTCATTTGGGTCAATTGACCCTTATCTTCGTTGGTTCATGTACTTGATAAAGATGGCTTGCCTTGTCCCCCTTGATTTTGTTGTCAGGTGTTGGGGTGACATTAGAACTGGGTTCTACTGTCCGTCTCCTCATCCCCTTCCCTACTTGGGTTTGTTATTTTGTTTCTTGTTGACCTCGTTGTAGGCTTTTCTCGTTCCTTTCTGGCATCTTTGCCCTAGTAATCTATTCCAGTTTTCAAAAAAAAAAAAAAAAAAAAAAAAAAAAAAAGAAAAAAGAAGCAGGGAGAGTGGCACTGTGCAAGTTTGAGTGAATTTCAGTTTATTTACAAAATTGCCACCGAACCGATTTTAGCCCAAAATTTGCTCTATTTACAAGATTGCCACTGGACTTAAAGAACAGTTTTTCAGTGTTTGGGCTGGATCTGGACCTTGAGTCGGGGAGAGAGAGGGAAGGTGGACAGAAGGGTTGGGTTGGAGGGAGAGGTTTGCCGGGATTTAGGGGAGAGGGGAGTGGGGAGAGGATTTTAGGCAGGGAGGTATGGGTTAGGGAGAAAGAGTAAGGGAGAAGTATGGGGTAGGCTGATTTGCAGGGATTTCCTTTCACCCCTTCACTCACCACGAACCCACCTTCTCTCTCTCTCTCTCTCTCTCCCCCTTCGAAACAATCAGTAAGTCTCTCTCTCTCTCTCTCTCTCAGTTCAATCAATTCAATTACACGATCTGTATACTTATAAATTCTGAGCTGATATACGTACTCTTAAATTCTTGATTTAATATCAAATTTGCTTTTGGAAAACGATTTCTTCTTTTGTTTGGCGATGAATTCTAATAAATTTTCTGTATTTTGGGTAGGTTTATAATCCCATTTAGCAGAGTCATGTCGCTTCCAAACGAAGAAATAAGTCCTCTTCTTCTGATGCTCAGGTATTTCCCCGTTTACATTCAAAGCAACACCCTTTCGTTTCTTTTTGCATTTGGGTTTTTGCGGTTTCTGTTTTTTTTTTTTTTTTTTTTTTTTTTCCTTTGTTTTGTATTTCTAATTTATCGTTTGCTGCTGGATAATGGTGATTGTATGTTTTAGTTTGGATGTTTTTCTGATTTTGGGTTGATCAGTTTTTTTGGGCTGCTTGAGAAAATGTGATCCCATGTTTTGATTGAGTGAAATAATTAAGAGATAAAAATGAATGGAGAATTAGTGTCAAGAGTAGTGATGGAAAAAATGAGGAAAAAAAGATAGATGTGGAAGAAGGGGGGGGGGGGGACTGGAAATCGAGGAAAGTGGAGAAAAAAAAATGGGGGTTAAGTGAGCAGCCAAAAGAGAAAAAATGAGGAAAAAAGGCTTAATGTGGGGAGTAGGCAAAAGAGAAAAGCAAGAGAAGGGAGACAGAACAGGAACAAGGTGTGGTTTTCTTGTTGGTTTTATCCAAATTTTTTATTTGGAATTTGATTTGTAGCTTATGTCTTATTACTTTAGTCTAATTTAGTGTTGGTTTTATCCAGGTTTGTAGCTAATTTAATGTTAATGGTGATCTAGGCGTTTTAATTTGTTGTGAACTTATATGGGTTTCGTTTTTTAATTGTTATTTTACAGTTGCTAGGGATGACTTTTGGCTTTTATATTGGTTTGGGTATTTTTTTTTTTTTTTATTTTGTTTGAAGATTTAGTGTCATTATACACCTTTGCACCACTGTTTGTTCTGTTTTTCTCGGTTTCTGTATATAGTTTTGGTAGCATTGGACTGTTCCTTTTAACTTAATTAAAGTGTTTGAGACTTAATTGAATGAAAGTTTAGTTTGGTTTGATCACGATGAGGTGTTTAATGTTGGGTGTATGATCCTTAGGTCCAATGGAAAACAATTCCCATCTTCCATTGATAAGCTTTTAGGATTTTACAAATTGTGATTCATAAAGATCATTCACTGTATAGAAGCATTATGATTTCTGGGGTTTGATATTTCATTTAGTTTTGTTATGTTTGGAATATAAGTTTTTCAAATGGTTTGGTTCTTCTTGGGCCGTGCTATGCAAGAAGGTTATTGAAAGAATTTTTACTAAGGGTTCATCGAAGAGCTCTGTGTGTTTACCGTAAGGTACAGTGTTCATCGATCTCAACTTTTAATTTGTTTCTCAATTTTTTATAGTTTTGGATTTGTAAAAACCCTTGATTGAATCGGATATTGGCATGGTCCCTTACAGGAGCACACAAACCAAGCAAGTAGTGACGGTCATAAGCCTCAAACATGGCAGATGCGTACTGGAGGTATAATGCCGGCTAGCAACCGCCGTTGTTGGCGTTGAATATAGCTGTCAGAAAGCATCCTCGCTTCGGTTACTGTATGTTCCTTGAATATCCCTTTTTTTTCCTCTTTCATTTTTGCTTTTGTTTGGGGTGGGACCTGGGTTTTCTCTGCATTGCTGAAATTTTGCAACTTTTTTTCTGGATTTCAATTAAGAAATGGATAGATTTGGGAGTTTCTGATGACTTTGATCCTCATCACCTGCCAATACCAGTGCCAGAGATGGATCTACGGCCACCACCGCCAACCTCACCGCTGGGAATATCTTAGATTGAACACTGGAACTTTGTATGAGGTTTCATGAATATAGGAAGTGTGCTTGCTCACTCTCTGTGTGTTTCGTCAAGGGGTGAACTGGGTATGCTTGATTATTTTTACTTTATTGTCTTATTGTAATTATTACTGAGATTTGTGGCTTTATCATTCTTACATTCATTGCTTTTTGTTGATGAATGTAATCTGATTTTGTAGGTCAAAGTTTTTCAATAAGAAAATTAAGCTGCTATGAATGAGTTTATCCAACTTTAATTATTTTGGTCTGCGTTTCCTTTGTTTTTTGAAATTAGATATTTTTGTAGATATTTTTCCTTAAAATTGACCAAACTACTTATACTTTTATGCATGCATCAGCTATGGCTCAATGGTTTAAAAATTAAAAAACCAGAAAGATGGTTATTCTAGCTTTCTAACCAGGTTTGTATCTATTTTTATTTTTATTTTTTGCAATGCTCCTCTGCACTACAAGGTCTCTCTCTCTCTCTCTCTCTCTCTCTCTCTCAAAAGATTCAATTTTTGTTTCTGGGTCTTTGTTTTCTCATTGTTTCACTGGTGAGTTTTTGTTTTTTGTTTTTTTTTTTTTTTTTGTTACATTGGTGGGTTTTTTGTTTTTTTTGTTTTGTTTTTTTTTTTTTTTTTTTATTAAATTGTTACATTGACCGGTTTTTGTTAATTTATGTGTCCATTTGCAAGAATGTGTAATTTTGTTAATGAGGTGGAGTTGCAATAAGAATTGCACTGCATTTGGTTGCAGGGTGTTTGTTTCCACCGCGTTATCAAAAGGCTTTATGATACAAGGTGGAGACATTTCGGCTGGAAATGGCAGTGGGGGAGAGTCAATTTACGGGTTGAAGTTTGAAGATGAAAACTTTGACATAAAGCGTGAGAGAAAAGGAATGTTGTCTATGGTTAATAAAGGCCCTGACACCAATGGCCCTTAGAAAGTATCGCAAGGCTTTGCAGTACGTGGATATATGCTGGGAGCTGGAAGAAATAGATGAAGGTAAACCAGTTGCTTTGCACTATAGAGTGTCCCTTGCTTTCTTTGATCAACTTATGACATTATCTTTGTGATTAAACAGAGCGGAGCTCCTCTTTGTGGAAGACAAAAGTCCAAGATATTTCCTAATAGCTCAGTAAGAATTTTCATTTATCAAATTTGAAAGCACTGGATGTTAAATGAATTCTCTAGGAAACCCTCTTAAAATGAAAACAAAATTACTGTCCGGATAAGTAAACCAATTTCAGTTAAGCAGTGTAAATGACAAGTTGTTGAACTATGGTTATTGCAGAAAGTGTACATTTATGGGTGGCAATGATTGACATCGAAATTGTATGATAGTTACTTAGTCATACTTAAATTAAGCCTGTTAGACAAAATGAAAATTAATGGTGGTTCTGAGTTGCTATGAAGAATCCTTGAAATGAGTGAAACCAAAAAGACAACTATGAATATAGTAATCAGGACTCGCGTTAATACTTCTCTGGAGGCTAACTTGATTATGTTCATGAGTATTCTGTATTCTTTTGTCGTACATTGATTTTAATGTCATCAACTAAAAAGAAATACATTTCCCTTTTTCCACTTGATTGATAGGTGAGTTTTCTGTTCAGGCTTGCAGGTTGAAATTAGGAGACCTAGAAGGAGCATTGTTGGACAGACTTTGCATTGCATGATTGGAAAGATAATGTGAAGGCTTTGTTTCACCAATGCCAGGTAATAATCTTTAATTGGCAAGAATTCATAAAGTCTTCTGGTTGCTGTTTAATACATTTTTTAATTAAAGTAGTTGTCTTTTTTTTTTTTTTTTTTTTGCACGGGATAGAAATGAACTCAAACGTGGGTAAGAACCGTGAATCTCTAATCCTCTTCCTCTGATATAAACAGGCATCCTGCATCTTTCTGCAGTTTTTCACCAAATAAACAGATTATAAGAAACTTTTTTTCCAATTTTTTCTTTCTTTTAATGATCATGAGGTTTGTAGATTGAAGGTATAAGAGTATTGCTCTTTTGTAACATATAAAATTACTAAGTCATGTTACATTTTCCCTTCCATTTTTTTTTTTTCATCAATTTGCTTCTGATTCATGTTTTAACACATGTGGAATAATTTCCAAATTAACGACTGGTTCTTGCAGCCGCGTGAAGAGACTGACTATTCAAGCTTTGCACGTTAATTCAAGGACCTTAGTCACTATATAAGGTTTCATTTCTAATGCTTATTACTTCCTCCTTTACCCTTATTAAGAAAATTTTACTAATTGCAATTGTTAAATGTTATTAAGGTGAGAAAGGGATCATCGATCTGAAATGAGCCTTTTATGTAAGCAATTTATCCACTCATACACCTCAAATTCTTTTTCTTCATAGATTGTTCTGGTAACTGCTCTCTCAATTTTTTATTTTTTTTTTCATAGGCACAACTCTTTAATTCTTCTGCTTCTTCATCATACTTTGAGCTTCATTCCGTTTTCAGCTTTGAATTCTGGATGACAAGCTCTACGCAAGAAGGTAAGCTATTTTAGTATTTTGTCCATATTTGGAATATCCCCACTTTTGGAATTTTAGGGATTTGATTCATTTTCGTGTTGCATGTTTAACGTTGGTCTGGGTGACAATCATTTGAGGATGTACGAACTTGAATGGTTGTCAGTATACTTGAATGTGGCTAAATTTGGGTAAGAACCGTGAAACTCAATCCTAATTTTGTCCTCTTTTGAATTTAAGAGCGAAAATTGGTGTATTTATACCCTTTTTGTTGTGAATCATGCAAATTAAGTGTCTTTAGAGGTATTATGGGTATTTTCTCAGAATTAGGGTTTAGGGTTGATGAATTTTGTGTTATGAAACTTGATTGTGCAGTCTTTTCAGTCCTTCTTGTAATTTTTTTTTTTTTTTTTTTTTCCATATTTCAAATAAAAATTGCATTTGCTTATTTTGTTTTTCAAGTTCAAATGAAAACATAAGTTTTGTCGGTGTTAGTTCAACTGGGTCGTTAATTGACACAGTGGCCTATTACAGAATGGCCACAAAGGTAATGATGTGACTCAATGACAAGCTATTAGTTGATAGGCCAATCTGGAAGTGTATTTGCTTAAAAGGATATTAATCATACACAGAAATATAGATTGTATGTTTTATACTGTATTGTATCCACATTACAGTATTATACACTGCAAGTCTATTTGTATAAAAGTCATTCAACTGGTGATTCAAGTAGTATATTGCTTATTTTATATTGTTTGTATATATGTTTGAACAGATATATCTTTAGTTTAGTATATATGTTTTCTCCAGCGAATTTTTTCATGATTCTGCATCTGTACAGAAAATAGTTGAGTCTTAGTTTGTCTGCTTCATGAGATCTTTCTACATGGTAATCTTTTGCACTCATTAATTTTTTATTTTTTATTTTTTTTTTGTTTGAGTTCATATGATGTGTTTTTAGGATCCTGAGGTTTTAAATAAAATAAAATATTTGACTTCAAGTTTTCTGTATGGATATGGTTTGATCTTCACAGCTGATGTCATGATCAGGCACACACAGAAGGAAGAGGTAGAAAAAAACTATTCAGATCTTTTCTTTACTGTTGAGTTAGGTTAGAGAACAGGCTTTTGTGGTTTTTAGAGTTGATTTTCTTTCTTTTATGCCAGACCGACTGACTTATTTGTGGTTTTTAGAGTTGATTTTCTTTCTTTTATGCCAGACCGACTGACTTATTTGCTCTCTCGCTCTCTCTCTCTCTCTCTCTCTCTCTCTCTCTCTCTCTCAGTTCAAACCAGCTGTCGCCTTTTCACGTTTTTCTCACCGATTGCTCAAGACTTTCAACTCTCAAACATCTCAGATCACACACATGGAATAATGATGGATTTTTTTTGAGGTGATTTCATTGTTTCCTCTTTTGAAATTTGTCTCTGTTAGATTATTGTTTTTCAATTTACATTTTACTCTTTTCCAACTTAGGGTGCTTCACTGAAGAAATGATAGAGATTTTTCTTGAAGTCATTTCGTTGTTTGTTTTCGTTTGGAGGATTGTTGTGATTCAGTTGGTACCATGTGTCAGTTGGCTGTTTTCTTTTTAGTGTTTTTCAATTTGTTCCTTTTATTCTGTCTGCACTTTTTTAATCTGTGGTTATGCATCAATTTCTCTGCTTCTTCTTTGTAAATCTTGCAGGTCAGGACGACACACCTATCGGGGCAATTTCGAGATGTTTAGGCTTGGGTGGAGACGTGGACTTATGGAAGAGGTGAAGTTGCTTAGCTCTCTGTCATTAGCTTTATCTGTTCAATGCATCTCTAAAATCTTACAATGCTCTTTTATTAAATTGCAATATGTTGGGACCGGTTACTGGAATACAAGATTTGGAACAAAGGTGGTTGACAATGCCAGAGTCGAAACCAAGTGTGAAATTCACATTGAAAATGACAGGTGAGAATGCTAATCATATTCTACAAAAAATGTTGGGTTTCCTGATGAGTTCTCTGGCCGAATTCAGGAGCCTAATTTAGTGATTTGGAGTTAATTTTGTGAATTTATTGAATGAAGTCATTTGTATTTAGCTTATCTTGCGTTTGGTTTGGTTTTAGGAGAGGGTGGCGCATGATCTGTAGGTTCAATCAACCTCGCTGTTTTCGTTAGAATCACTATTAAAGGTCAGTTTTTCTAACAATTTTTTTTATCTTTTTGCTTCATGTTGTGCATTTCGGTCTTTCCATTGCAACACTCTGCGTTTCCTACGTAATGAATTTTTTAATAAAGATGTAGTTAAAGCAATTACATGCTCTATGAAGTATGTTTTATATGTGGTTAAGGAAATGAAATATTTGTGCTGATAATTGGTAGTTTAAATATATAGAAATAGAGAATAATTATAAATGGAGCACCTAGGATATTTAACATTGTTTTCTTTTCCATGTAATTTTTCTCATGTTTAAATTCTGCTTTTGTTTATGCATTTGATTCAAAGTGCTATTTTTATTAGTGTTAATTTTGGGTTGCATATCCACAAACTAACCCGGTTAATTTTGCTTAGTGTTGATCTATAAGGAGAATTCTCATTGCATCAACTTGAATAAAGATTCTTCTACTTAGTTGCTTAGCTGCTGAAACAAGAACGTAACACTTTTTATGTATTTTTGTTTAACTGCTAAAACAGGTGGCTGGCTTGCAGGACATATTTTGCCATCTTAACTTCAAGGGCAATATTGATATGTGTAAAATGCATGTTGCTTATCTTTCTCAGGGAAACAGAGCATTTTTTGCAGCCACCTCTTTTGTAATTGGCTAGGTTGAATGTATATAAAAAGCCAAGCTGCTTATCTTACCAACATCGTTCACTCATCTATCCTTTTTGTTCGTTCATGATTATGTTGAATTTTTTTTCAGGTTAAATGTGTCTTATTCATTTAGTTAAGGCTGGTGCATTAAAGTCCCACATCAACGTCCGAACATATTACTAGTTTCACTCTAAAAACAGAGTAAAATTCATCCTTTTCAATCAAACTGTTTTATGTTATCAGAAAATCACAAGAATTGATAGCCACCACTGCTTTCCAAAGATCAAACCGAATGAAATTGATCTTTAATAAAAAGTATTAATTGAAACTTTAGTCTCAAAATAGAGTAAATTCCTTGAGCATTCTTCTATAGCATCTTGCACTTTCATATCATTATCATGAGTATTCGTGGTGCTTGTCATTTGAGAGCTCATCAAAGCCTAATCCTTCTTTGGTGCTTTTCATATGCTTTTGTTCCATTGGCTTCACGAGATTCAAAACAAAGTAAGAAAATTATAAATGATTCAAAAAATATACAGACAAATGTATGTATGTATGTATATATCCAATACCTGATTACCTGATTGGATGCTCAACTTCTCAAGGATAAACTATAGAGAAAAAGCAGTACAATGAGAAAACGGACTCCTATAAGAGCTTTCTTCTAGAAAAAGCAGTACAACGATGGAGAATTATATTTTGGATTTGCAGACCTCGTTAACCCAACAATCAGATTATTTTGGATTTCTTTTTTAATTTTAAATGTTAACTAAAAACTTAACAGAGTTAGAGACTAGATTAAGTTAGAGGACGTGTGTCAAAATATTAGCAAAGAGGCATAAAGGAGACACACAGAAGGGGACAGTAGACCTGGAGCCCCTTAACTCTCTGCTAGTACTTCTTGCTATATAGCAGGTTGAGCGACAAACACCGTCCATCAAAATGTGTCATGTTTTATAAGAGTTTAATTTGATTTATAATTAAAATTCTACAACACAAAACAATATTTGCTCTGGTCCATTGACCAAATGTGGATCTATGTTGGTCCTAGCACTGTTGATGCAACCCTTAATTACTTGCAAGAAAAAAACCAATTGAACATTACTTTCTATTTTTTTGAATATCTTTTGGGATCAAGAGTGATAATAGTAAGTAAAAAATTGCGATTGTTGGGTTCAAATGCAGACATTGCTCCCACCTTGATACTGCTAGTACTTATGTGCTAAGTGGCAGGTCAAGCGACTAACACTGTCTATCAAAACATGTCACGATTTATAAGATAAGTTGATTTATAATTAAACAACTTAATCTGTCACGTGGTAAAGAAGTCCCTACCAAAAAAAAAAAAAATCCACAAATGCGATGGCATAATATTAGTTAATAGTACCAATAATTAAAATTGCTTGATTTATACCAATATTGAATGCACTTGACACTCGTTTTTTCTTCAATTCTAGTACAATATAATACTCCATTTCGTTCTTGGATCACTACAAAGCACTTTTGAGGGTAAGCAAAATTGGAATCATAATTTTGGAGTTCCCTTGACATTTTTTGGGTTGCTTGAAATTCAAGCATATATGGCGAGAGCATTGAAGCCGATCGATACCGTGTACATGCAAGAATACCTAATTACGAAAAGTTGACCAAAATCACTTTTCCTCATGTGCAAGTGCAATTTCAACCTAAAGATTCATGGAAAGCGACTGATACTAATTTTAGGCTGAACTCCACCTCCTGCTCGGTGCCAAAAGACCATATTTATTACTAAATTTCCTTGATGCCAGCCTTATATTGGGGAACTACAAAGCCAACCAAGAAAGACCAAAGCACCATAAGTGGTGGGTTGCCTTGACAGGTATGATATTTTTCTTCAACTCATTGGTTTCGAGTTTAAATCCTTTCATTTTCATAGTATAGATAAATTTATTTATTTATTTTTCTTTTTTGAACAAACGATATTATCTATACTAAAGGAGAGGGGGATAGGTTAAAACTCACAATGGGTCAGTTCGTAATGTGGTTCAAATTTGCCTTTAGCGAGAATCAAACTAAGACTTCTCACTTACAAGTGAAGAGAAATAGACAAATTTAGTTTAGATTACTTTATCAATTTGTCATATAAGAAAAAAAACCGAAAAAACCCCTCCACTACCAAGATGAAACACACCATGTTGCTTCTATGTGAAGGACCAAACTCGTAAACTAGTTATTATAACGCTTTTGCCTTTTATCACGATTCACGTTCCTTGCAGCCAGTAAAGTCAAAGTTTTAGTCTCATTTGCACGAAAATGACAAGTCATGCGTTTCATCTAAGAAAACTTTGAATTTGTTAGTATAACTTTCCATTGAGAACCTCTCCATACATGCATTACAACCCTCCATCACAGGCGTCAACACCATCTCTCTGCCCTCCGCAAGGACAATGAAGACCTCAAGGCCAGACCGGCGTCGTTTCATCATTTATTCCTTCTTCTTCATTTGTTTCCTCTGTGCCCTAGCTTCCATCAACGAGGTTCGATTTGATAGTCTTTTGAAATTCGGTTGCAGTGCTCTTTCCAACATCAACGCTCCCAACAGTACTTCAACAGCAAATGTTCTGCTCGCCCAGAACTCGTCCTCGGACGATGAGATTCGTATACTTTTCGGCATTCTAACACTTCCTGACCAATACCACCGCCGCCACTTCCTGCGTATGATCTACGGCACGCAAACTCCGGTAGGGGCAACAGTGGACGTGAAATTTGTGTTCTGCAACCTCACGAAGGAAGACCAGAAAGTACTTGTGGCATTAGAAATATTGCGTTACGATGACATTATCATTCTCAATTGCAAAGAGAATATGAACAAGGGTAAGACTTACACCTATTTTTCGAGCTTGCCAGAGATGTTCAACGATACGAAGGGGCCAAATCGGCCTTACCATTATGTAATGAAAACAGACGATGATGCGTATTTTAGGCTGCAAAGCTTGGTGGACTCGTTGAAGCCATTACCAAGACAAGACTTGTACTATGGTTATGTTATTCCATGCCCAAGTATGGATCCATTTGTGCATTACATGTCTGGAATGGGGTATTTGATTTCTTGGGACATAGTGGAGTGGATTAGAGAGTCCGACATCCCCAAGAACCATTTGGAAGGGCCGGAGGATAAAATTTTCGGGGATTGGATTAGAGAAGGGCATCGCGCGAAAAACAGGTACAATGCTAAGTGGTCTATGTACAATTTTCCGGAGCCGCCCACAAGATGCACACATGAGCTTTGGCCAGACACGATCGCAGTTCATTTGTTGAAGAATCAAGAAAAATGGATTACGACGTTGAAGTATTTCAACGTCACTGATAATCTCAAGCCTTCGAAATTGTACCATATACCTTAACTAGGTAATATATATATACCTGAACAGTTTTCATTTTAATTATTTTCCAATTATTTGCTGAATTCAGATGATCCAATCTGATTTTGATCATTCATTCTTGCTGTAATCTTGTGTTTTTCTTATCCTGATGTGCTATGTACTACTTAATTGATTTGAAATTCAAATGGGTGATTGACCTCCTACGAAATTGAATGCATGCCAACTGCCTTCAAAATTATTCAGTTGATCAATCAATGTTGCTACATTTTCCCAGCTTCTCCTTTAGAGGAGTGATTGAAATGGGAAGCTATTGTAATTTTTTTAATTGCTAATAATTTAGTTACCTTAAAGGGTTTATATCACAAATGGTCCCTGAAATCGACCTCTATCATCAAGATAGTTCCTAAAATTGAAAATCGATCAATGTAATCCCTAAAAATAGGTGTCACAAATCAATGTAGTCCTTCTGTCACAATTCTGTCAAATTTTTGTTATGTGTTGATGTGGCACGTAAATAGAGCCCACAAGATGTAAGAGTTTTTATCATAAATGGTCCTTAAAATTAACCCACACGATCAAAATGGTTCCTAAGATTGAAAATCGATTAACGTAGTCCCTGAAAATAAGTATCACAAATTAATGTGCTCATTCTGTCATAAACTATCAAAAATTTTGTTTTGTTTTGATGTGGGCCTTAATTAATTAAAAAAGTTGTCAAAACAACTTTTTGCAAAGTGAGATTATTTTAAGGCAAAGCTTGCCATTCTTCACGTCACCAAGATCACCAGGGGAGCGCCCAACAAGCTCTCCAAGATTAAGGTTGTGAGGCTGTTGATTGCCCAAATGTTGACGGTGGAGTTACAAAAGTCGTCACCAAAGGTGGTCTCGATCCTGGTCCAATTCGATGAAGTGTCGAAGTGTGTAAAGATGGGTTGGGATTAGAGGTAATTGCATGACCAAGTTTCTGGGTTGACAATTTTTTAATTAATTATTAAATTATTAGACCTATTGCTAATTTATTTGTTATTTAGTTTGACTTGTGGGTCCATTTATGTGCACATCAGTAACAAATTTTTTATAGAATTACAACAGAAGGACCATATTGATTTGAGACATCTATTTTAGGACTACATTGATCGATTTTCAATTTCATGGACCATCGTGATGGTGTAAGTCAATTTCAGGGACCACCATTTCTATGCCACATCAACAGATAACATAAATTTTGATAGAATTGTAACAAAAGGACCACATTGGTTTGCGACACCTATTTTCAGGAACTACATTGATCGATTTTCAATTTTAAAGACCATCTTGATAGTATGAGTCAATTTTAAGGACCATTTGTTATATAAATCCTTACTTTAATTGTTAATAAGACAATGTTTAGTAGAGCACTAAATTAGGATCAAATAGTTGGAATCAGGTAGAATGAGAAGGCTTGGAATCAATCTAGATGTAATGTTCAATCAGAGAACTCACTTTGTAATTTGTTCTAGAATGTCATGAATCAGTTTAAGAATTGTGTTCTAGTTGAATACATCTTATCTGGTGCTCAAAGTTGTTCAAATCTATCCAGCAAGCAGCTAGTAGCTTAGTTGAATAAGAGGATTTACCTTTTTTATCATAGGACAAGTCTCAACAAGCCTTATCACGTGTGGCAACATTTTAACATGTACTACTGGCTCAAAAACCAGAGTCTGCTCTCCTAATAATAATTGTTAATGTGTACGAGGGAGATGCCGAATTTTGTTTGAACTTGCTTTTCCAATGTAACAACTCAATACATCCATCTAACTCGGTCTTGTCTGATAAAGTTGGCGGACTGTTTTTAAGGGGCCTCACGCGAACAATGTGTAATTTTGTTTATTAAACTAAACCGTTAGGTCGGTTTGTTTCGTTTCTTCCTATAACTCGTTTCGGTTGGCAGCCTTGTATTTTTCTGTTCAATAATATTTTGGTATATGTATTCAAATTATCCTTTCGCTTGGCAGTCTTGTATATTTCTGTTCAATACTTACATGTTGTGTGTGTGTTTCACACACACACACACACACACACACACACACACACAGATATATATATATATATATATATATATATATATTCAAATAATCCTTTCGGTTGGCAGTCTTGTATTTTTCTGTTCAATAATAACTAGGTATATATATTCAAATTATCCTTTCGCTTGGCAGTCTTGTATTTTTCTGTTCAATAACATCTTGGTGTGTGTGTATATATATGTGTGTGTATTCAAATTATCCTTTCGCTTGGCATTCTTGTATTTTTCTGTTCAATAATAACTTGGTGTGTGTATATATATGGGATAGGATCAAGGGACAAATATTTTTACACTTTTTTTTAAACCTTTAGATTACAAAACATCCAAGGGTTCATATTCATTCATTAAATGACATGGATGCTTAAGTGGATTTTAACTAATATTAAACATAAAAATAAAATTCAAAACGCATAAAATATGGAAGGTAATTAAAAACAAAATTAAAAAGGAAGAAACCCTAAGTTTAAGCATGCAAACAAGAAAGGAGGTAGAACTCCATTGATTTGAAGTATTGTAACCTACATCTCCCTCTTTGCCGATAAGGTCTGCAACCTTCATAGGATTGATATGAATTTGATGCCTTCTACAACGAATCAAGCTATTAGTCTCTTGAATCTTCATTACATAAGCAAAATGTACAAAATCCTAAACCGTATATTATTGTTCATATATGTAGGGTGATTGCAAAATCTTTATAGTTTTGTCGATTTAGGTCATTGATGATTTTTCTACTTTTTTTAGCTTTCCGAATCAAACAAACAACTTGATTTCATTCGTCTGCGCTTTTATTCTTTTTTTTTATATAGCAATTTCGTTTCCGCTGAGTATTAATCCAATCCCTGGTATCACCTTTTTCTTAATCATTCCTTTTTGTTATTTATTAGGGTTCATTTTTTATAAAATGAAAGAGGAGATTTCATCCAATCCAAGTCATTTAATGTTTAAAACTCTCCACATCACTCTAAATCTAGACCGTTAAATGTTATAAAATCTAAAGGCTACAAGGAAGTGTACAAATGTTTGTCAAAATATTAGTCCCTTGATCCTATCCCCAGATATATATATATATACACACACACTTATATGCCCACATGCAAATTGTGTGTGAAATTTTTTACTTTTTTGTTTTAAAATTGAAGAGAAAGAAAGAGTGTGAGAGAGGATTTTTTATTTTTTATTTTTTTTTATTTTTTATTTACTTTTAAATTAGTGGTGATTGTCACATCCCGGCCCGGGGCGGACCACTTCCCGGGCCCGACTCCACCACCGTAGCACGATATTGTCCGCTTTGGGCTTACCATTCCCTCACGGTTTTGTTTTTGGGAACTCACGAGCAACTTCCCAGTGGGTCACCCATCATGGGATTGCTCTAGCCCTCTTCTCACTTAACTTCGGAGTTCCTACGGAACCCGAAGCCAGTGAGCTCCCAAAAGGCCTCGTGCTAGGTAGGGATGGGAATATACATTTAAGGATCACCCCCCTGGGCAATGTGGGATGTCACAATCCATCCCCCTTAGGGGCCCGACGTTGTCATCGGCACATTTCCGACCAGGGATTGGCTCTGATACCAATTTTCACATTCCGGCCCGGAATTGTCACATCCCAGACTCCAACCTCTCGGATATTGTCCGCTTTGGCATTCTGGGCCTGGACTATGTCGCAGCCACCCAGCTACCGCACGGTTTTGTTCTTGTGGACCGTAGTCCACAAAAGGCCTCTCTGAAGTTAAAGCTCTGGGCATGGATATATAAGGCCCAAAGACCACGCCCTCACGGGCGATGTGGGATACTACAATCCACCCCCCTTAGGGAGCCCGACGTCCTCGTCGGCACACCACGACCGTGAGTCTGGCTCTGATACCAAATTGTCACATCCCAGACTCCAACCTCTCGGATATTGTCCGCTTTGGCATTCTGGGCCTGGACTATGTCGCAGCCACCCAGCTACCGCACGGTTTTGTTCTTGTGGACCGTAGTCCACAAAAGGCCTCTCTGAAGTTAAAGCTCTGGGCATGGATATATAAGGCCCAAAGACCACGCCCTCACGGGCGATGTGGGATACTACAGTGATTAAATCACCTGTAGGTAAGGCTTAAAAAAGACAAGCAAAATTTTGTTTTGTGAAATTATGTTACTTTCATTAACCTTTTTTATTGTGATAGAAGACAAAAATTAGGAGGAAGAATAATGTACTTTTCTTACAAAACAAAAGATGTATTCGATTTGGACACTTATTAACGTACTAAAATTTCAATTACACCAACCAGATTTTATTGTTCTCTCAATATTCTTGTAATGAATACCTTCAGCTCATTGATGAACCCTAAAATGTATATCAAAAAAGCATGAAAAAAAATAGAGAAAGAGCTCCAGAACTAGTCTATATACAGAAGGATTGACTAAGTACAGCAGTAACACGCAAAGTATACGACCACAGAACATCTCGCTAATTGCAAGATTTTGTTTTTTTTTTTATCAAATAGTGTCCAAATCTTCGCATGTATGATGCATCCAACAGCTACCATTACATCTTGGATTAACCAAAACATGGAATTATTTTATCTATCAAGCGCCGATTAACAGGTCATGAACCCATTAAATAACAGTTGGTTTTGAGTAGTAGCACTATTGAGGCTCAAAAATGTCATATGAAAGCCCAACCATGTCTCGAGGTTCAATTGTCATGCGAGCCTCAAGTCAAGCCCAAATACATGCAAAGTTGCAGGATCAAGAAAATAATATATTCACAACCATGACACACTACGATAATTGAGTCGGATATTTAATGAAGAGAGAGGCTTATTTTACCCCCATTGTAGTCCACATAGGCAAGCATTGAGAGTGAATAGACTTAGCTTACTCTCTTTCCTAGCAAACTAACCAATCCAATTAGAAAGGAACCAAATCATTGCTCTAAGGTCACGTGAAAGCCCAGCAAAACAAACATTTAATGAAGAGAGAGGCTGACCTTCCATTCCCAGCTCACGCAGAAGTCCAACGCGTGAAAGCCATGAGGCACACTACCAGAAATAGCACCTATGGAAAGCTGACCCAAGAAGGCAGCGCCTTAGGTAGAAGGCATGATGTAGGCTTCACAAGGTGGCAACAACTAGCCATCTTGCATCGAAATGGGGGTAGCAGAAGAACTAGGGAGAAGGGGGAAAATCAAGCCACAATTAGAGATTCCTTGAGAATGAATCATTCAACTACTAATAGGTCAAGAGCTTTAGGGGAGGGATCCATGATAACACATAGCGCCACAAAGCCTAGAAAGCATCATTCTGTAACCTTAGTATCTTTTCCATAACTCCCTTTGAGCATTCCAACCATCAGAAAATTTGTTACCATCCTAGGAAACCCAGATTATCCAACCGAGAACACCATACAACCATGCGAACTCTCTCTTTTCCATGCTAAATGGATGAACTTCTAGCTTCCACACCATGATTCTCTTCATCAAGTTATTATTTGCCCAATCATGCTATCTTTGAGTCATTGATCTAAGTGGGATATTTCCTAAGACATGCTAATTCCTTCGAGGTACTTGGTACGAAACCGAACTAAGGAAGATAAGAGGACATTCTCAAAGCCCAATTCCACCTTGTCCTAAAAGTCCCGCAACAACCCCAAAAACTGTTCGAATCTGCCAACATAGAACGCCATTTTCCCAACAATATAGCAATATAGGATCAGTGGTGAAACTAGGAATTGTCAAGAGAATGACGAAATTTAAAAGGGTAAAAGGTCCCCAAAAAATGTAGACAACCATTCAAGGTCTAGGTCCCCAAAATATGGGAGAGAGAAACTCTCTCTTCTTTTTCCTCTCTTCTACATTGGAACCAAAAACTGCAGAATTGCAGCTCTCCATTCCTTCTTTATCTGATTTGAAAAAAAAAAAAAAAAAAAAAAAATTTGATTTCCAATCGTAAAATAATCAGAGTCAAATAATAATGGGCGCACGCAGCATAGCAACGATAACAGCAGCCTTCATTCAAGTATTTTGTCGAACACCTTCCGTGCAAGTTCAGAGGGGCGAATTCCTCGCTCTTCATGGGATTTCTCACAAAAGGAGTTACGATCGCACCTCCTTCCGCCTCTGTGGCTTTGCCATGACATGTGGCCACAGTTATTTTCCTTCATCCCACTCCTCCTTGTACTAAACGTCATCCTCGTCATGATGTTGTAGATTACCCCAAATTCTTCAATTTTGTAGTTAACAATACACAGAGCAATAGAACTACGAGGATTCTGGACAATTTTTAGATTGTGAAGAAAGTTGGAGCTTCACCATAAAATCAATTGACAATATGGAGAGTAGTCTAACTACTTATAAGTACATGCAAGGTCCCTTCTTTCTCCGATATGGGATTGCCACTCTAAACACGCCCCCTCACTTATGAGAGATTTTCAAGCTTAACACGTGAACAACACAAATCAAATATGTAATATAGTCAATAGCGGAAATAAGCAAATCACAAATACAATTAACCACTAACCTTGTGAAGCCATTGCAACAGAAAAACTAGAGCTCTTCTACATTTAACACTGCTGTATACAATTAACAAGCAATGAGGCTTGTTCTCTTTGTTTTGCGTAATCAGTGTGAATGCAGGGACCTCTATTATATATCCATAGTGGTGGTGTTTGATTAGGTTACTTCCCATCATGTAATCCTAATCAAATTGTATAAACAAATATCCTTATCACCACAAACCAAAGTTATCATATCAGAATAGTTAAACCTATTCATACCAAGATTACTTCCAGCTTTATATTCGATCAAATACATTCCCTGATAGCTTTACAAGTCTAATCTATCTCAATCTCTTAAGACTTCAATCCCTTAAGCACGTGATTAACTAAGTGTGCAGCTCTAATTAGATTACATTCTCCCACTAGAGCCAACACTTGTTTTCACACATGCCACCATATAAGAAATCATACTTCAATGGCCATGAGAATAGGAACATCAAAATCCCAGTAACAAGTTTCTGTCATATGCCAGCATTCACGAAGAACTAAAAGGAGTCATGTCTTTAAAACATAAACACTATCCCCTGAATCACTATCATGAAACTATCATACACATGAAACTCTAACAAGACATGAAAAATTAATACAACACGCATGCTTGAATGTTTCCGTAATGCACTTTGTATTATAGTCCACCTTTAATAAAACTAGTAAACTAGTCTTCTTCATTGTCTCACATTGAGACCTTTAAGTTGCCTTCTGTAATAACAATTAAATATAAATTGTTTTCCAAATAACACATTAAAAAATGTATTGTATCATAACTATAAACCGCAAACATGGGAAACTTCTGCAACCAATAGTTTATTACACTTTATTAGCTAAGATAAACTGTAAACTTTAATGCATGTATCAAATAACTAAGGTTGAAAACAACAACATAATGTAATCAAACCATAGGCTCCCACTAGTCCACGATATCAAGGCTTTCTAGAACCCCCCGTCTTCTGTATGTGCTTCTTAAAGACCACCACTAGAATTGGCTTGGTTAATGGATCATCAATCATGGAAGATGTTTCCATGTAATCTATTTTAACCAAGCCCTCTACCACCTTCTAACGAGTAACAAGGAACTTAATATCCAAATTTCTGGTAGCATTGGACCTTTTGTTATTCTTGGTAAAGAATATGGCTGCATTGTTGTCACAATAAAGTTGTATTGGCCTTGAGATCGAGTCAAATATTCTGAGACCTGTGATAAAATTCTTCAACCAGACTCCTTGATTAATTGCTTCATAACATGAAAAGTACTCAGCCACCATTGTTGACGGTGCCACTATATCTTGTTTAACACTCCTCCAAGAGATAGCTCCACCACCCATCATGAACACATAACCAGAAGTTGACTTCAAATCATCGGGACAACCTGCAAAATCTGCATCACTATATCCTTCTAGAACCAGTTGATCATCAATTCTTTTGTAGACTAACATGTGTGATTTAGTCCTCTGAAGGTATCTCAATACTATCTTACCTGCATTCCAATGTGCCTCACCAGCGTTGGACTGAAACCTCCCCAAAACACTAATTGTAAAAGCAAGATCAGGTCTTGTACAACCTTGTGCATACATTAGGCTCCCAACTAGTGATGCATATGGCTTGTCTTGCATGGCTTCTTTCTCTAAGTTATTTGTAGGACACTGTTCTTTACCCAATTTGTCTCCCTTGGATATCGGCATTTCTGTAGTTCCACACATTGACATATTGAATCTTTTCAACACTTTTTCTATATATCCCTTCTGCGACAACCCTAGTAACCCTCTCTTCCTCTCCCTTTAATCTCGATACCCAAAACATATGCAGCCTCACCCAAATCCTTCATTTCAAAATGGTTTTGCATGACAGACTTGGTGTCATCTAAGAGACTCATACTGTTCGTGGCCAATAAAATGTCATCTACGTAGAGCACCAAAATAATAAAGTCGCTCCACTAATTTTCAAGTAAATGCATGCATCAAAGGAATTCTCAACAAAACCATGCTCCCTTATAACTCAATGGAATTTTAAGTACCACTGCCTCGACGCTTGCTTTAATTCATAAATGGATTTTTTCAATTTATAAACTAAGTGTTCTTTCCCTTCCTCCATAAAACCCTCTGGCTGAGCCATGTATATGTCTTCTTCTAAATCACCATTTAAGAAGGCTATTTTTACATCCATTTAATGTAAAAGCAAGTCAAAATGCACCACCATTGCCATAATAACTCTGAATGCATCCTTCGTTGATGCCAGACTGAACGTGTCTTTATAATCAACCCCTTCTCTTTGAGTAAATCCCTTTGCAACTAGACTCGCTTTATGCCTTTTGATGCTTCCTTTCGAATCTCTTTTTGTCTTAAGCACCCACTGACAGTTATGAATGCCTATCTCTATCTCTCTCACTCTTCCTTCCTCCCTCCCCCTTGCCTTTCCACAATTATCAACACGCGGCAGAAATAGACAGTGGCAGTTTCGTAAATAAAGTGAAATTCACTCCAAATCACTGTTCATGTGAACAGTGCAATTTCCCCTCCTCCTTTAGACTAAAGTAATTGTGTTATGCGAGTTTCCGGAAGCACACAAATTGTTGTAAAAGGATTCTTGGGAAGGGGCCACGACCATTAGAGCTAAGGTTGATACCATGGAAAAAAAAAGTACTGCAACTGAGACACAACCATTCCATGCGTAATATTTGATAATTTGACAACCAAGTATTTTTATTTGGTCTAGTGATTTTTCTCTTTCCAATGTATGGAGAGGTCCCAAGACTAAAGTGATACTTCGGAATAATTTATCACCTTCACCACTCGATCATGCACTAAGTTACCTCATCCACCTTGCATGGGAGTGAGTTCAAACGCTGTGAGTGGTTAATCTAACATCTAATCTACAAAATCTACCGCTTGATGCAAGTAAAACGAAACACACACATACACACCCCGCCCCCCGCCTTCCTAGAAGTCTCAGGACAGTGCATGGTTATGATCTAGTTGATGAAAGCAAGCTTTCCAGGGACTGATTCAGTTGATGGAAACGAGATTTCCCGGGACTGACCTAGCTCTTATGTGACTGACGTTTAGAAGTGAATCAGTGATGACAAACAACAAATAGATCACAATAAAAGCATGTCCTACAATCGCAAGCCACAAATTATGGCTTTCACGAAAAATACAAATACACCAATAAGCCGAAAGTACAGAACCCACAAGTACAACAGCAACAACAATCTGCTGGCAGCTTAAAGGAGTACATATAGAAAAGTTTGGTTGAAACTATGGACTCAGATGGCTTATAAATTGTTAGACAACCAAATTCAGCTGTTGCAACAGGCAGAGGATTGCATTAACCGGAAACCCAGAAGTTGGTTGGATTCTACAGATTCAGATGCACTTCTACTCCATATATATGTATATATAGTATACTCAAAAGATGTCTGCACGAGCTCTCTCTTGCAATTAATTCTGCAAACCAACGTAAATTCCCAGTTGAAACAAAAAGGGGTATTTAAACATCATGTTATCTTTACCCGTCCAGAAACCATGTTACACACTCTGCATTTTGCTAGATATCTCTTTTGGTTTTGCATCGTCCTTTTCCTGCAATCAAGTAAAAGCATCAAGTAGTTGGTTACAGATAACAGCAACAAAGGTCATTTGTAATCAAGTAAGCTAAATGGTACCGCTGTACTCAAGTTAGCAAAAACATATGCACAAAATCCTTGGAGATAAGGAAACCAACTTAAGAGTTAGACATGCTTATTTCCAAACAAGTTGGGGGTTCAAGGGGTTATATGGTTGTTAGACTAGGCACCCTTACATTGACAACCTGCCCCAGTAAGTTTTCTGGGGGTTATACCGAGGATAGGGATTTCAATCAAGGACAAGTATCTGTTATGGTTTCCATGTCACTTCAGCGGTAGGCAACGGCAAACACGGGTTTCCATGTCACCTCAGGATTTATATCAGAATAAGTTGGGAAACAATGCCAAAGATGATGCAGAAATAATAATAATGTAACACAAGTTCATAAGAACAATCTTAAGGATCAGCTGCTATAAGGCTGAATGTCTTACTCACACAAGTTTAGCACTCATTGGTCATAATTTCAATACTTGTATTACATCTCAGACATGTTCTGACATCATAAAACAAAATGGGGACGTGGAGGTTGTTCTTGTAAAATATTTTACAATTGAGTATTAATTTTCCCTTATGACATCGAAAGTATGAGGAACTGATACTACATTATAATGGATCTTTGATATTCTATATCATAAATTTGAATCATTTTAATAGAACAGGCTAGCCTTAAGTTGGATTCTCTTGGACCAACAAGTGAGTATATCCTAATTTTATGTCCTTTCTTTCATCGTTCTACCAATATTCCTTCACCCTTGTAGTATTATGTGGATCAAATTACAGTGACTATTGCGGAATTTTGATCACCATATTTCAAAAGGAATTGTAAGTTGCAGTAAGTCGACATGCATACTCTCCCAGTTGTAAATTTCTAACAAAAAATTAAAGGACGTTCTGAAAAAACAAAATAACAACCTTTTTCTAACCAGAGGACTTAAAACCCTTGATTTTCATGGCACTGGTCTTGGTCACTGTTCTAAGAATCCCAGCCTATTCCCTGCTTAGGCGACTGGCCACCACCCGATTATTCCCTAGGCGTTTGAAAATTAAGAAAGGACGCCTAGACCTGCCTAGCGCCCGCCCAGTACACCGAGACGCCTCCTAGGTCGTAAATCTCACTTAGATAGAAAATAGATAACTTTCATTTTGCATTCTATTTTTTCAATAAATTGTAAAAAACTTGTTGAATACTTGAAAGATCACTCATTATATGCCTGTTCCCATGTTTTCAATATGTCCTAATACTTGATAATCTACATGTCATTCAATTTTTCAATTTATGTATCCCAATCCAATTATGTATTTATTTTCAGTATAAGTAGACATTTAATTATATGTTATATAATAAGTTTAATTAAAATATTTAAAAATAAATAAAAAAACCACCCGGGCCCCCGTCTAGGCACTAGGCTCTGCCCGCCACCCAACTAGCGCTTAACGTCTTTTAGAACCTTTGTCCTAGGAAGGCATTTATAAATGCAAAACCGGAACATTAACGAAGAACTTAAACAATAGATTCAATACAAGACAACATATACATAAATATTGGTTGTATGAGCGTGCGTAATGAAACAAAGGACAAGAAAAATAATCCAATGATTGAACTCAGTTGCTTATATCAGCATCAATCAACATCTGCACACTTCAATCTATTAAATGCTCAATCCAACAACAAATCAATCTAAGCCACTAACCAGTACAACATAAAAACGCAACGAAAAGTAAACAAGTACTATGAATGCAAGGAAACAAATGGTTACCACTCCCTTGCTCTGGTAATAATCATCTAGCGCCCACTGATATTTTGACTGATTTAATCCAAACCAGCGTGCCAAATGGTCGTCCAAACTTGAATGAGCTGCAACATAATCAAAGAGCCACCCTTAGCTGTAGTTCACTAGGGAAGAACATATCAGTATAAGTATTCACCAAAACTCTGCCTAAAAGACTTCACAAGATGCAGGATTGGCGAAACTACAAAACAAAATTCAGCTTGCTGAACATTTGTTTTAAGTTTCTGCAAACCAGACACTGTATAATCTCCTATCTAGTTTCTCAGAAACCTAGCAGGGGCTGTAAAATCACCAATGGTCCCTGCGTACTTTCGGCAAGTAAAAAGAAAACAATAAAAACATCAATCCAATGGAAATTTCATCTTCCTAACAAATAAAATTATTTACAAAATTACTTACTCAACAATTCACAATAAAATCTGGTTGGCTTTCTTTCATTAATTTCATGCCAAAATCCCAAATTATCCTTCTTTTTCCTCCACTCCCCCACCCACAACCACAGAACAACCAAAAACCACACAAAAACATAGTAAAACAAAGACACACATTACCCTTCTGCACTTTGGTGACCGCATTCTTAAAAATCCCCAACACCGAGCCATCGGACGAGGAATCCGAAGATACGGCAATGGGCTTCACCAATTGCTGAGGCGGCGGCTGGACCGGGGGCGGGGCCACCTTCCTGGGGGACTCAAAGACCGGCGCGGCCACCTTCCGGGGAGAATCAAAAACCGGTTCGGGCGGTTTAGGGGTGGAGGGCGGCGTCATAAAGACAGTGTAGGGCCCAATCTTGCCGATCATTGGAGGGGGAGTGGAGTCCCTGTTGATGGCCATCTGGCTTGTGTATGGTTTGGAGGAAGATGGGAGAGAAAGGGAAAGTCAGGGAAAGCGAGGGATCTTCGTGAGTTTTGAGTGAGAAGGGGAGCGGAGCTGCTTTAAGTTAGAGAGACCGAGTGAAAGTAGTGAGTTGGTCGATAGGAGGGAGGAGGAGTAGTGTCGACTGCACGCAACCCCAAGTGGTCATATCTTTTGTCTTTTGTGAGTATATTTTTAGAAAAGCTAATAAAAAACGATTCGAAGATTTTGAATTTTAATGATACAGACAAAGTAAAAGGTAAAGTAAATAATACCATAATTGACTTTTTAATGTAAAAATATTATTTTTCGTTAAAATGAATAGTACCGAAAATTTTTCGTTAAAATTTTCTATATTTTTATGTGTTATTATTTTGAAATAATTGTAATTTTCCTAGTTGGCAGATGCGGGATGGACTAGTGGGAGTGTACCTATTTGTACCCGTATAACGCGGAGTTTGCTTCCACTTGACAGGCAGCCTTTAGCGTTTGGCAGTGACGTACATGAGTACATCTCCATCCGCTCATACGACTTTGGTTCCTCCAAATAGCCCAAGCCTATCAAAATTCCCTTGTCATCGTCACGGCCATTGTCTAGCTTTGGAGCGTGCTTGTTTGCGGCGCTGCACTTCTTGGGGTTTTAGGAGCAACCTCTGCTCTTTCTTTCTCCCTTTTGAGATTGAGTTCCAAGTTCTGGGTTGTGAAATTTAAATTCCGCTAAGTTTCTATGCTGTTTTTTATTTCGTCAACTTCGATTCAATCGTGCTAGGTTGTTGTAGCTGGGGTTATTTTCGTAGAAATTGAGATTTTATATAAATATTGGTGAAACTCGTATTGGATTGTGATAAATAAAGTTATGTCTGTGTAACTTTGAAGCAACAAGTTATTGATTTGAATTTCGATGGAGGATAACAAATAAGTAAACGAAAATATAGAAGAAACTGATGATGTACACAAGATGAAATTGGTGCAAGGAGGGCTGAATTTGTGATGCTAAATGTAGAAGATCGATCAGTTGAAACTCAAAGTGAATATGGAGTTTGATTCGTTGTTTAACAATAGTTATGCAAATCGCAGATGGATCCGGGAATATAGTAGTAAAAATGGCAATGGTGGTGAGGGCTTGGTAAGGAAGAAATTTGTTAGTTGCAAACCACGTTCAAGAAGGTGGATGCTTATCCAAACCCAATTGAAAAGGTAAGAGGCCAGACACTAGGATTGACTGCAAGGCAAAAGTTGTGTTGTGGAAGCCAAATGATCATGATTAGTTTGTTGTAACAGTTTTCAAAGAGCGACATAACCACTGTATGACAAGCGCCTCACACTTATTTAAATCTTATCTTCGAGTTTATAAAGCAAAAAAGGGGATGATTGAACAATGTGTATAAGGCAAAGAAGGTGATGATTGCAAAATGTGCGGAGATCAATATTTCCATAAGTAAACAAGTGGATTTATCGAAGGTACAAAGTGGACAAAGTGGAGGAATCGAAGATATTGGTTGCATCCCTAAGGATATGTTTCATGCCGAGAAGGACTTGCAAGTACTAATTGCCCACTGTCTTGCTAATAAGAACTTAATGGATCTACACCATGTGAGGTTGAGATTGAAGAAACAACGGGGTTGAGTAAGGACGAATAGATAGTTTAATTGTTTTTGGCTAGGATTAACTAATATGTTAATTAATCAAATGAATAAGTTCGTTTTAAATCTCATGTTAGTTTCAGGCCTCAAGGCCCATTGGGCTTTGAATAGTCAAGCCTAATGACTTGAGTTGTATGACAACTTAAATCACAAAAGGGCAAAAGGCTCACTAACACCTAATGGCCGGTCACAGAGGGTAATTACAATTCATGCCACTCAAACGTGAGTGGCTATAAAAGAAAATTTGTATGCCAAATTTCATTGGGGTTACATGAGGGAATTTGAGAGAACAAAAATGCTCTCCTTCCACCTCTAGGAGGCCGGCCACTTGGGCGAATTTTAACTAGCATGAAAACCCTCCCAAATCACTCATCTCTTTTTCATTCACCTCATGGATGTGAAAACATAGAGGTTTCCTTTCTTGGGAACTTGGAGAATCCATTCTTCCATCCTCCACCAAGAAATTCATGGAGCAAAGAAATTACGAATAAATGCCCTCTCTCATGGGTGATTAGCATTTGCTTATGCATAGAGGATTCAACAAATGTATAATAAATCTCAACTCCTTTCTTTAATATTTGAGTTGAGTCTTGGGTCACAACTACTAGGCTTTGAATTTAATGGGTAAAGTTTAAATTTGAGTACATTCAAGCATGGTTCCGCCTTTAATTACTAATTGCATGTGTAGATGTTACTCAAATGAACTTAATAAAATCAGATTTTTGCTTCAGAAGGAGATGAACAATTTTGAAGTAATATGTCAGAAGAAGAGTTCAACAACATTGAAAACATGACGGAAGCTTAGAACAGATGACTACAAATAACTAAAAGATAGAAAAGTAGCACAATAATATAACAAAGTAAAATCTCCTACAATAGCATAATGCATGACAACGCACAATAATTCAAGTATCAATAAAAAATATAAGCATCATTGTAGTCTTTTACATGAAAAATATCCTAAAATGAAATATAAAAAAAATTTAATTAATTCTTTTAAGAAATCCTCCCTGGGGTTTATTTGTACACAAAGCTCAAATTTCCTTATTTACATCATAAAGAATGAAAGTATTAATAAATACATACATACATACATACATACATACATACATATACATACATATATATATATATATATATATATTATAATGACCCAAGTGAACAACCACATAACCAACAATATTTACAACACTCCCCATGTCCACCAGTCAAGGGTTGTTGCATCATAAAAACAGATAGGAAAACCTAGTGGGATAAAACCAAAGCAAAGGGAAATTACTACAAGCTCTTTGTGAATAATTGATAAGGTGTTGGACACACTTATAGCTAGCCCTACTAAAACCTGTTGGATTATAGGATCCCACATTGGTCGTATGAAAAATAGTATACAATTGATATATGGGAGATTTCACCCCTAATATCACTGAGGCATTTTGTGATAAAATTCTTCACCTAGTAATAGGTTGTTAAGTAAGGACAATATCAGTAATGTTGGGGGTGGACCATCTTAACCTAAAATGTTTAACATGATATCAAAACAGATTATTCTCTCGACACATCATGGGCCCAAGTTAGTAGCACGAATCATGCTTCCACAAGTTCAAATTTTAAAAGTTGTACTAACTCCACCTTAAGGGTATTAATTAAACAATTGGGCCTTTGAAAAAGTTGGCATTGGCTCCAGTGAGTGAATACTAACCGAGAAAATTGGGTCTTCGAAAAGATTAGCATGGACTCCAAAGACTGAATACCGACCAACTAACTAGACTCTCGAAAAGATTGGTGTTAGCTCTAGTATAATGACTTGAATAGTTCTCAATATGGGAATTGGTTTCTCATGTGACCTAGTGGGGGCCACTCGTAAAGGGGCATGTTAGAGTATAAGATCTCACATTGGTTGTATGACAAAATAACATACAACTAATATATGAGAGATTCCAAAATATCACCAAGACATTTTGTGATAAAACTCAACACCTAGTAATACGTGGTTGAGTTAGAACAATATCACTGGTGGTGAACCATGTTGGGTCTGAAAATTTTCTCTACATCTTGCATGAAAACGGAGTAGGATAACATTTTGATCGATAGGAAAAAGGATGTGCATACAAACGATATCAAGTCACAGCGGCAGTCAACTTTATATAACAAATGTATCTGGCTGAGGGTAATGAGGAAAATGTAAGATAACACGGAATCACAGAGAACCTAAAGAGCAAGGATTCAGGGCAGCAAACCAAAGAAGCCGCATTCCTTCGAGACTGGAAATTCTTGAAACTCAGTCAGAAAACTTGGTCTGCACCCAAATATGACCGCCATGTTCTGCAGAGTTGAAGGCTGGCCTCTACACAAATCTGCCACACAATCCTTACTTGTATATCATCTAAGCTGGATGCCATGTCTTACTCAAATGGAGGTTAGCTGAACAAGGATTCATTACATATAGAGGAGAGGACTAGCAATACGTTACTATAAACATGCATCATTTTTCACGTTTGGTTCAAATTACAGAACGTAAAACAAAACATAAGCATAATAAGACTAGGCCTACATATATAAACCTACCTATCCACTATGTACTACTAACCTGACCAAGGAAGAATAATTCACTCTCCGTACTGAAGGGTAGTCACACAAACCTCACAAAAAACAAACATGGTTCAAGTCACTCATGAAATCATTGAAAGTTCATCTCGAGCCAGGAGAATTCCATATAAGAAACGTGCACTACCACTAACACCCAAAACAAGCCCCGACTAAAGTAACTTTTGTCAAGAGCTATTAGCGACTGAAGCAGCAACCTCTGCCCGGCCGATTCCTCAGAATGAACCCCAATCTTGCACTTGAAGGCTAATGTGTGGTTACAGCGTGTTCCCATATACTCTTAATCAGATTACAGAGTTTGCCAGTGAAAGCTCATGGAGTTCACTTAACATCCACTCTTCTCCAGTTTGACCACCAAGGACAATTGCCCTTGTCCCTCCAACAACACAAGTACTATGTCCCCAGGCGAATCTTGGGGGCCGCCCAGGTACATTCAATATCCTCCATGTAGGTTTTTCATCCGTTGGATCTAAGAGATAAAGTTGCGACGCTGAGTGAAGACCAGCAACAGACCCTCCAAAGATCAGTATTCTCCCACCTGGAAGGCTCACAGCTACATGATCCAGTCTAGGAGGAGGAGCCATGCCCCCTGGATTTCCAGAACCGGGCATTCCACTCCCTGTAACACACCTCCAACACGGTTCATCCTCACTCAGATCCATTGTGAACACATCACTGGAACGAAAACGAAGTGGACCACTTTTGGCCAGGCCCCCAAACATCAAAATTTTTCTACCACCATATACAGACAGGGTGTGGCCCAATCTTGAAGGGGGCTTCCATGCTACTGGTATCTCTCTCCACACAGGTTTCTCCATTGAGAGATCAAG